ATCCTGATCAGGATCTGAACTTTTTGTGCCTTAGGCTTGTCTCTAATTGAATCCATGCAAAACCAGACATTTCACATGACTTTGATGCAAAACCATAAATAGGCCCATTTTTTATTCAAAACGAAGTCCAGGTTTGCTTAGAAAGATCACAAACCTCCTACTGAACCTTGATGGTCCCAGATTATAATGAAAATTGAAGTCTCCAATGCAATAACATTCCCAATGCAATAACATTCCTGGAGGCAAAGATGCTTGATATTTGTCTTTCTAGTTAAATGTTTTACTGTTCAGAGGCAGGCAATGATGTCCCACTTGCTGCAAGTTGGACAGAAGATGGTCTAGAACCTTCCTTACACAGACCCTGGTTGTAATTATGTTTCTTGGATTAGATCCCAATTAAAAAAAAAATCTTAATGGCACTTCTAGTGGTTTTGTGCCTGATATAGGACAGTATAGGAATAATTCCAAGTGATATGGGATTAAAAATGCAAAACAAAGCATGGAAGCTAGGATGAGATTTTGTTTGGATTGAAACACTTTTTGCAAACTCTTTTCCTGAGCAGTAAAGTTGAAAAAAACCCCAAAACTCTGGATGTTTGAATTTTGCAAAACAATTTTCAAGTTGAAGGTGACTTCCAAAAAGTACAAGGATTTTGTCAATACAAATTCTAGTACCTGAGCAAAACAGTATGGCTGTTATTTAATTTTAATGACAGATGCAGGCTCTTCTTTGAAGATCACAATCTGAGCATTCACTTTGAAATTATCCACTGCACATATCAGCTAATCCATTTATATGTGATCATGTATGTTAGAATTAAGTGGATGTTCATCAGAACACAGCCTGGGTCAAAGTTTGTTTGTAAAATATTGTTTGCAATTGCCCTTAGACTGTGATTTTGAAAGTCTGATTGGAGTGTCTGAATAGGTAATTGTCACTGAAAACATCAGAAATGTTTCCAGGCCATCTGTCACTCAGCCACTTGTTGTTATTTGTATTTCTATGGTAAACAGGAGCCCTGCTCGTGGACTGCCACTGTGCTGGGAGCTGTACCAACACAGATCTTGGGATTTCTCTGTGAAAAGGACCTAATGATGTAAGCACATGAAGGTGCACAGACATGTTTAGACTTTTAAGTAGAGATGGAGGCTACTGAGCTCTATGATGAGCAGTGGTTTCAGATCACTGGTACCCAAAAACTGCAGCAGATGATGGCAAGCTGTCAGAGTGGCAAAACCCCTCTAGAATTCCTGTCTCATTTGATGTCTACCGAGACAGCAAATGTTCTAGGCTTCTGCTGTGAGCCCAAAGGCACATTTATATGCTACCAGACACAGAGGAAGGCTGATTACCTGGCCAACAGTAGACGAAGGCAAAAAGTCCTCTACCCTCACAGGGTAAACCCTCTTGCATTTGTTTCTGTGCTTTGTGATCCCCTTGGGCAGGATTAAACCTGGGACCCTGGATCTCCCTGTCCTGCTTGTCTAACAATAAAAAGGAAGCCACTTAGAAAAGCTGCCAAGAGCTGGTTTCTCCCTTGATCCCGGTTTTCCTTTGCTGACACAGGAGGCTGGCTGGCAGCGTGCAGCTTTTATTCTTTTCTGTCTCTCTGCTATTGTGCAGAGTTCACTCTGGCAGCCTCCCCCTGGACGCATCTGGGGCATCTGTCAGGCCCCTCCGTTGGGCTCTGTCCGGCTGGCTTGCAGGCCAAGTTTTGACTTCCTAATCTGTATTAACCACTTTGATGTGGCTCTCAGCAGGTTTTGACCTAAAGCAGGCAGAGAATCACATCTCACAATCCATAGGGTATGAATTGAAGGAAAAAATTAGCATTTTAAAAATTTGCTGTCAAATAAAAAGAAAGAGCATGATTTTTGCTGAAATTCAGTTGGGTTTGAATGCTTGTCTTTTCTAAACTTCCTAGAAAAGCCCAGCAAAATATGTGCTGCTTGTTTGCATAGGCAGGGAAGGCAGGCTGTGTCTTAGTGGCTGGTGTTCTTCCAGTATTCATCATGGAGGTATTTCTCTTTCAGTCTGGATTAACAAGATGAGATACTCAGACTTCCATTTTAGGACCTGTTATGTTTTCATAACAGGAAAATGCCTGTTGTGGCAGGAAAATGTCAAGCACTCTGCAGAGTCTGCTTTTGAGAAGACCTCTTGGTTTTGAATGTGCTGTAATATGATATTTTCAGGAGAAATTAGAAACAAGGAGGACTACTTTTATTCCCACCTAAGAAAGCTCCCTTGCTGCATGTTTTGTGATGGAGCTATTAGGACTCCCACTTGTGATGCTCCTGGGTACCCAGCAGTGTACATAAGAGTGCTTGCAGGCTGTGGTGCTCTGAGCTGAGTACAAGTGGAAGCAAAAAAGAACTCTGTTGAGTGGTGCCACAGCACTGAAAGGCAAGATGAAGCAGGAGCCAGGATTTTTACAGCTGACGTGAAGCTTCTTCCAGATCTTCTCCTGCTTCTTGCTGAAATGTTGAGGACCTCTGGGGAAACAGAGAGAACCTTTAAATAGATGCTATCAATTAACCCTACAGCCTAACAATTTAAGATAGCTGATTTTACAGAGATGAAAGACCGTAGCTAAGAAACTAGGCATTTTAGCTTTCTGGATTCATCTGTTTGTATTTTGGCGATTTTCACCCCTAATTTTAAATATTGCAAATCTGATTTGGGGCCACTCTCACTGTTATCTTTGAGAATTTGCCCTATTTCTGGAGGGTAAAATCATCAGTTTTAATGAAACCATTGATTTTCAGTCTGTGGGAGATCATCAGAAAGTGAGCTCCTCTTCATGCTCCAAAAAAGCCACAGGAACTTTCATTGGGTTCCCCGTTTGGGTAAAAGGAACTAAAGTAAAAACCTTGTATTTTCTGAGTGTGGACGTTGCTGATGCTTGAGGGTGGGTGAGGGCTACATCTGAGTCTCGAGGGTGGATCCAAGACCACTGACACAATGTGTCGGTATTAAATGCACGGCTTGCATTTAATACTGGGAATGTAGACCTAGATTCTTCAGAATCTCTTTCTTTGGGAATGTCAAGGAGCAAATGAGTTGTATGTGTGGTTTTGTACCTCATATATAATTTAAATACTCTCTGTTTAGACAATCATGTCATTTTAAGTCATTGATGTTGTAGGGACACTGGGAGTGGGAAAAAGGGAAATGAGTGAAAATATATTTTGTGGTGTTAGTGTCCAAGCAAAGCCTACAGGACTCATCCACAGGCATCCTGTCACTTGTGCTGCATGTGTATGGTGAATAGTTAAGAGAAGCTAGTGTGTTTATTGCACTAAATTTGGTACAGAGTTACTTCTTCAGTTTTTGGGACTGTTAATAATTCAGAGAGACAGTTATAAATTGGTTAATATATGTAGAGGTTTCAAAGCTGGTGATATTAAGTATGTGTATATTTAGTCAAATAATTTGTGACGTCTCTGCCATTAGGCATTCACCAGCAACCATCCTTCCTGCAGAGTTGCAAGAACATTTATCAGCATCTGTCAACAAGCAGTAAATGAGAGCAAATGTAAGGGAATTACATATGTCTGTGGTGTAGAGACTGGATCCAGAGTGACTCCCAGCAGGCACATTTTCCATGCTATTAAGGTGCTGTGGGGCTGGCTGCAGCCGAGCACAGCCCATCACTCCCTTTCACTGACTGCTCTGAGGTCAGCTCGAGCAGGGCTTTGTTCTGGTTTTTTCTTATTGGACTGAAAAATTGTGAGTTTTCTTTGGAAGCTCCCCATGTTTCTTTGGAATAGGTAGCAAGCTGTATACCTTGCTTCATTATTAGCCAGCCAGGGTCCATGTCCTCAGAGCACTGTGTGTGTGCTTTATTTTCTCATGTTTGGTGTCTGTATTATGGCAGTGCTCTGGTCAGGTGACATCTGTGAGCTCCAATAGCTTTTGTGAGGTTGGTAGAAGACAGTCCCCAGGAAATGTAATTAAAGGATGATGCCAGGAGCTCATGGGCGTGCAAACCTCATAGGGTGAGGAACAAGGAGCATCTGCAGGTGACCAGTTCTTGGATGGACTCAAGGTAATTACTGTAACAGCATCACAGGCGCTGTAATGAATGAAAGAGCTTTGTGTGCTTCAGGGAGTCTTGGGCACAGAGTCCTGCACCCCCCCATGCTGGCACCCAAGGTAGGGGCTGGAATGAGAAACCCCACAGGAAATAACACAAAGAGGTACTGAGCACCCTGCTGCTATCCCGTTATAGGGTCCTTTTATCCCAAACACTGCAACAACCATAAAGACAGGGGCTGTTTTTGACCAGTGGGACTGGAGGGCTCAATACCCAGTAGGACCAGGTTTCATGACAGAAGATGATGGATTTTGAGGTCAGCACCCCAATTCTTATGTAGTTGTGATGGAAGTGACCTAGAGTTACTAACAGCTTTGGCTGGAAAATAAGTATTTGGCAGGAGTAGGTAGTGTCTTCAAAAAAACAATCATAGGAAAAATATTTGATGAAAAAGATAAGCTATTTTATTGACTGAAATCTGAAAAGCAGAGGAAAAAAGTCATAGTTTTAGTTTTCTTTCACAAAAATCTCCTGCAAAGTTAAGTAATTTCTAGAAGAAATAGAGTTGTATTCAATGACAAAATCCAATATCCTATTTAAGGAAAAACAAGTCTAGAAATATTTTGGCCATTCCTAGTCCTGAAAGTGATAAATAGAGACGGTCATATAACTCAGTGTACCTCTGTAGTGGGTAAAAGTGGCTTGAGGGGTGGTCTGGCTGCAGCTGTGGATTTAAGAAAAGATGATAAACTCGATTTCCCACTGAGACTTTGAGGACTGTAATCATGACATGGAGATGAAGCTATCTACAACAGCTTTCTCTGATTGTGTTTTTTTGGAATCAAGAATTGTTATTAATTCAGATGCTAGAACTAGTTGAGACAAATAGGAAGTTATTAAAACATTCTTTTTGTTTTTTTTTTTTTGGTTTGTTTTGTTTTTTTTTTTTTTTTACTTTAGGCATCTGTACAGTTTCTGTTTTCTTCAAAAATGTTTTAGCACTACTACAAGTGGAATCAGTGAAGAAATCAGAGCTGATGTTGAAGAATGCTTGTAAGCCTTTTCTGTCTTGGTGTGCTCAGTAGTTTGATCATATAACTTTAGGAGTTCTGTTTGCATGGTGTTGTTGCAAAGGATTGAGGCAAATATAATTTATAGGGTTTTTTTTCTTCTGAAAAATCCACATTGCCTTAGACAATTGAGAGATTACTGACAACTCAATTATTTGCAGCACTTTAACTCACTAATACAGTCTCATTATTTATCCAGAGACTCCTTCATTTGCTTTATTTAATTTCTCAGCTGACGAATTCCATCTCCCAGGATACTCAATGTTTTCAGTCTTAATTGGTTATCAATCAGCTCTTCCATCAGCTGATACTGGCTTGAAGACATGACACCAATCCTTTCTTAGTACGTTCTGGGATTTCTGCAAGAGAGATCTCCCTTTCCTCCTAAGTCTCTCTATATTAAAATATCACCTAAATTCCTAAAGTTACTTGGGAGAAAACCTAATTTGGATTTGTGTGTTTAGTTTCCTTTTTTTTTTTTTTTTTTTTTTTTTTTTTTAATTTAGGAGACAAAGTTCTTTAATCCTCTGGCAGTTTTTCCTTGAAATGTCCTAGTATTCGTAAGTGAACGGACAACGTGCCACAATGCTTAAATACACCACTCGTGTTCTCAGCCTTACCAGGGATGCTCCCTGTGGGAAGGGCTGGAAAAACCCCCAGACGTGGGCACTCGTGAGCTCCCGGAGAGAAACAAGGAGCTGTGCTTTTGCAGAGCCGCTCGGCGGGCCGGCCCGGCACGGCCCGCGGTGCGCTCGGGGCGCGCCCGGGTCACCGCAGCTCCCGCTCGCTGGGCTCTGCCTGGGTCCGCTGGGAAAGGAGGCACGGACAGACAGACTGAGCAAGGGGCAAGGCTAGCCCGGGTCCAGCTTCGCTCGTGTACCAGTAGAAACAGCAGAGTAGTCTTTTGAGGCTAGTGAATGGAAACTGTGCACAGTCAGCGAGGAAGCCTTGGCTTTGCGGGGAAAACTGTAGCAACTTAAATTTTATTTAGTCATTAAACCTGAGCTAACCCTTATATAAATACCAACTTCTGAAACCACAGGGAAACCTCCCACAGGCTACATGACTTTTACCAAATCACAGTAGGTTTTTTTTTTCTTCTTTTTTTTTTCTTTTTTTTTTGATAATACACATACATGTGTGTGTACTCCCTGGACCAGAGGATCTAAGTGCTAACTGCAGTTCTTTTATATTTAGTTTTCAATGTAAGTAATAAGAATGAATAATAATAATGTCAATAATGTTAATGAGAATAATGGCAATAATAGTAAAAATAATAGTAATCCCCCAGAGCAAATTTACGGGAGTGAAAGTTGGGATCAGACACACATGCAAAGCTGGTAAGTACTTTAGCGTTACTTGTATCAACAAAGCAAATCTCTTTTTGGCAAAGGAGGTGGGGGAATAAGAAGAGATTTTTGTAGTTGTATTTGCAGTTTCCTTTTCCCTTCCTTTCACTCTAGAAATTCTTTATCCTTTCATGCACAGTTGAGAATTAGCCATTTATTCTTAGTGCTGGCGATGCAGTCTTTGATATTTAAAATGGAATGTGTTCCTTTTTGATGCTCTGTGATTTTGAATGAAGTACATGCTAGCAGATTAATGGTGCAGAACAGTTAGACACTATGCATTTTTTCTTTTCCATATTATTTCATCATTGCAAAATATATATTTTTTTTTAAAAAGAAGAGCCTGTGAATTGTCTATTGTTTATGCAGTGAAATTGTTTTCACAGTGTTGTCATTCTCTTCCAAGTTGAAATCATTGAATAGCTATGAGCCGTCACATTTTTTGTCACTTATAACTGCATCAAGCTGTGCTGACAAAATGTCCCTGCATAACTGTTAATATGCATTGTCATTTTAAGCATGAAACAGTTTAGCTAATGATTTATCTCTTATAATGCAGCACTTGGGGCAGCTGTATGATTTGTCTCTTTAGCAAGTCAAGTAATTTCTTTAACAAAATGTTAAGCACAGATGGGCCATAGGCTGTCAGTTAACCATTATTGTGCATGCATCTGCTTGCCTTCAATGCACTGTTTTATGTATTCAGCCACTTACTTAGGCACAGTTCTCTGAAAAGCGGAACCTACTCTGATTGGCAAATAAAATGTTCATTTGTCTCTTCTTCCTATTGTTTTGTTTTGGTAACACATGTCAGCAGCTCAATTACCCAGTTCATTAACAGCTCCCAGTGGACATGATGGCCAACCCATGATAAGGAGGGCGATTGTGGCACATATGGTCAATAATAGCCTGTCTCTTGGTAATTGTAAATAAAAGTCACTGTTGGCCTTTTCCTTTTACTGCAGCTACTGTTTTCCTTTTCACTTTGCCGTACAAAGCACATTTCTCTATGTGAATCAGCCCAAACAAAATAAAAATACCATCCATTTTTCTCAAGAAGATCACTTTTATCACTGCTGTGGTGGTTGTTTCCTTTCTGTGCTGACTTTTCAGCTTAGAGCTCACAGGATACGGGCTTGCTCTTTTCCAATTCCAGCAAAGAATTAATTGCTCTTATTAACGAGTTTACTTAAGTAGCAACGTATTTTCTCAACATTTCTCTCATTCTCTCACTGCAGACTTTTTTTTAAAGTGCCTGTGGAGTTCAAGTCATTTACAATTTTTTTTTTTTTGTAAGTATGCCCTTTACAAATAGCAGTGGTTTTCAAAGGAGTAATTGAAGTGTGACTTAATCCCTGTTAGATGAGCGATATTCCTGTCTAGAACAGAGGCTTTCTTTTTGGTTTCATTTCTCCTTCTTTGATATATCATAGTCAAAATGGCAGTAGAACTGGTTAAAAGCAATTCTACTTCTTGTGGGTTTTTCACATTGTATCAGGTACTCTGCTGCTTTCTAGCAAGATTGAGAATTTCTTTATATATTTTCTGGTTCCTAAATTTTCACTTTTAATAGGAAAAAAGAAGCATGTAGCAGCATTAGCATGTTTTATGATAAGCCCACCTGAGAAATCTTTTGTGGCTTCTTGTTTCATTCTTTGTTTCTTGAAATCTGATTTTGTTTTTCCTCTCAAAGAGAAGGAGTCCAGTTGATAACAAGTTTTGGGCTGCGACTTAATAGGGTGAAACTTAGGGTGTCCAAATCTCTCTTCTGTCCTCTTACCCCACAGATGTTGAAGCCCAGAAAATAACGTTGAACTGGGTAAAATTGCAGCTCTGAGTATCAGTAAACTTGCCCAAAAGTGCTTTGGGGGGGAGAACCTAAACTTCAGGGATTCTCTTCTCTTCCTTGAAGCATGCTTTATCTTAGATAAACACAGCTTCAGTTGTGTCTGAAGAGCTCACAGGTGGCTGTGGGGTGACTCGGGACCCCTGAGCTCGTCCCCTGCTGCCTGCCATATTCATAACTAATCTGTAGTCTCCTCCCCGGGCTGCAGGCACTCGGGGAGTTGTTGAGTGTCAGAGTTTATTTGTTCTGGTTTGATTAGCACAGACCTGGCAGGGCGTATTTTCTTTTTAATGGTTCCTTGCTGTGACAGTGAGGTTTTGGGAGGAGGAGGAGGCGAGGGGGGAGCCTGGCATCATGTTTCCCCAGGCAAACACAGAAAAACGAAGGGCTGATGTGCTGGGAGGGAGAGAGGTGCTCTAGAGTCTTCATTATATTTTGTATGGATATAAGAGCCTGCCCCTAAACAGGAGTGCTGAGAGGGAAGGAGAGAGAGGTGTTGCTAACACGAAATAAGGATGCTATTTTATTTTCCTGTGGACTTTATTTTGAGGAAGAAAAGGAGCTTGGTGCGTTTCTATCTTGTTGACTGTTAAAAGCCAGCTGCTGAAAGCCTACCCCAACACAAACAAGGATCCGGGCAGGAATGCCCTGCTGGCCACCTACTGCTCCTGGCCATCCTGGGGAGCCAGCACCAGAGGTGTGCTTGGGGAGCTCCTCGGGTGCCTGTGACACCATCATCCTAGGGCAGTTCTGCCTCTCTCCCTCCCTTTCCTCCTTAATTCCCCCTCAGTGTGACGGAGGGCTGTTTGAGCCCCTCACCTCTGGTGGAGGAGGCAGTGTTGGAGGGACGCCTCCAGGTGCGGAGGTTTGGGAAGGGGGAGCTGGATTAACCCCTGCTGTGCATCCCCTTCACCCGGCTGCCCTCCCCAGCCCCCCGGCCCACCGCCCCCGCCTCCACGGCAGCCGCCTTTGTGCCTCCCGCATCCTGCCAGGCAGGTGTCAGAGCCCTGAATGCGGGCAAAGGCCCCGCTGATGGATACCACAGATGGAGCGTGGAAATCGGCCCAATAGGCCTCAGCCACAGGCCATTTCTTAGGACCCAACAAAAGCCTCCAAATAAGTCAACAAAAATCCCGAAGATCACAAAGAGAAAGTGTCATTTGTCATTTGCTGTGGGTTTGTGTGGGGGTGGCGGCCCCGCTGCACTCCCCTTGCCTGCACCCGAGCAAACACGAGGAGGTCACTCGCCTCGCCTCGGCCTGGATGGCTGCGGGGATCAGACGGGCGCCGGCAGCCACCGCTGCCACGGTGAGCCCCAGGCTGGCAGAGGGGACACCCCAGTGAGCCCCAGGGCTGGCAGAGGGGACACCCCAGTGAGCCCCAGGGCTGGCAGAGGGGACACCCCAGTGAGCCCCAGGGCTGGCAGAGGGGACACCCCAGTGAGCCCCAGGGCTGGCAGAGGGGACACCCCAGTGAGCCCCAGGGCTGGCAGAGGGGACACTCCAGTGAGTCCCAGGCTGGCAGAGGGGACACCCCAGTGAGCCCCAGGCTGGCAGAGAGAACAGCTCAGTGAGCCCCAGGCTGGCAGAGAGGACACCCCAGTGAGCCCCAGGGCTGGCAGAGGGGACACCCCAGTGAGCCCCAGGGCTGGCAGAGGGGACACCCCAGAGAGCCCCAGGGCTGGCAGAGGGGACACTCCAGAGAGCCCCAGGGCTGGCAGAGGGGACACTCCAGTGAGCCCCAGGGCTGGCAGAGGGGGCACTCCAGTGAGCCCCAGGCTGGCAGAGGGGACACCTCAGTGAGCCCCAGGCTGGCAGAGCGAACACCCCAGGGAGCCCCAGGCTGGCAGAGAGGACACCCCAGTGAGTCCCAGGCTGGAACAGCTCAGTGAGCCCCAGGCTGGCAGAGAGGACCCCCCAGTGAGCCCCAGGGCTGGCGGAGGGGACACTCCAGCGAGTCCCAGGCTGGCAGAGGGGACGCTCCAGTGAGTCCCAGGCTGGCAGAGGGGACGCTCCAGTGAGTCCCAGGCTGGCAGAGGGGACGCTCCAGTGAGTCCCAGGCTGGCAGAGGGGACGCTCCAGTGAGTCCCAGGCTGGCAGAGGGGACGCTCCAGTGAGTCCCAGGCTGGCAGAGGGGACGCTCCAGTGAGTCCCAGGCTGGCAGAGGGGACGCTCCAGTGAGTCCCAGGCTGGCAGAGGGGACGCTCCAGTGAGTCCCAGGCTGGCAGAGGGGACGCTCCAGTGAGTCCCAGGCTGGCAGAATGAACACCCCAGGGAGCTCCAGAGCTGGCAGAGAGAACACCCCAGTGAGTCCCAGGCTGGCAGAATGAACACCCCAGGGAGCTTCAGAGCTGCAGTGGCACAAGGGGGAGACTCTGTGAAATTAATTCTTAAGTAAAGAACTGAGAAAATGGATGTGTGGTGGGTAGCTAGTTAAGAAACTGCTACCAAACCCTTCCCTGGCCTTTGCTATTTTTAATTTTTTTCATTTGCCTTATTTTAGTGAGATCTTCAGCTAAACAGAATTCATTCTGGCTGTTACACTAGGAGGAAGAGACTGTGTAATATGTTATTAAAAATGTTACAGGGTGTGAAGAGCTGTGAGAGAGCTTCTGTTTCCCTGGGTCACAGAATGATAACCTCTCCATGATAACCCCTCTGCCTGCCTCTGTCAGGTGCACTGTGTTGCAGCCCTAATGCATGGGCTTTAAATGGTTGTCATGTTATTGTTATTTAATTATTCAAATGAAATGTCTTGCTGGGAGGAAGAACAGCCCACAGAATGACCTCTTGTGTGTCATTTTGTTGTTCGGTTTTTGCCCCATGTGTCTATTTACAGCGTTTGGAAAAGGGATGGTTGCAGAACTCCAGGTGACCGAGTGCCTGTGACATTGGGCAGTGGGGTTGTGCATTTGTGGTGATAATCGGCATGCAGCATTTCCTTAGGCCACCAGATAGGTCACGAGCAGTTAAGGGACAAATAATTTCTCTTTAATGCTGTAATTCCTTTTTTAATTACTCTTTGTGACTTAGCAACTGGTAGTGCTATTGGCTGCCTCGCCCATTTTGAGCTGTACAGTAAGAGGGGTTCCAGTGATACCAAGGAGCCCAGCCAGGCAATCTCCCAGGGCAGTGAGTCTCCTTCTATTTATGACTTGAGGGGTTGGAAAATCAGGATCAGTCAGACACATGTAAAGGTTAGTGATATGCATGTTTTGTGTCTGTGGAGGTGATGGATGTAGAAATAGCCCAGCTAAAATCTCACCACCTTTGCCAGTGTTGAATAATATCTTTGCATATCATGGAAGTCAGTAGAACTGTTAGTGAGATACTGCTTAGAGTGAGGGCAATACACTGTGACTATTGAACATATATAAAATATATGCTGCTTGTCTAAAGGCTGAGGTGTATCCAATTTTTGTGCTTAGCCAGTACTCTGACCGTTCTCACCTATACCAAAGTCTAATAATGGTATTTTAATAGGAAAAAATAAGAATAAAGGCGTCTTTGGTGATGGTGATATTTAAGAATACTTTGTAGGAAATGAAAACAATACAGTTTGTAGTAAAGACATGTAGCTATCCTTTGAGATTATATTTGTCTGACTTTCATATCACAGGGCAAATAAGACAAAAGAAGCCAATGCTTTCAATAAAGCTGCACATAGCAGCCTGGCCTGGCAAAAGGTAATGCCAATGAAAGCAGGTAGATATAAAACTAGTTTCATGTGATATACATTTTCTCTCTAATTTTATTACTTTCCCTTTAAATTCTTGCCCTTGATTACACATATTGTTCCAGACTCTTAGATATTATAGAGTTGGTTTTTTAAATTGGTTTACCTTTGTACCTTTTATATACTGCTTAATGAAATATAAAGTGAAAATGAAATTAAGTCAGGGTTTTAGTTCTACATTCTTTTGCAGAAAGGAATGAGAGCATAGGGAAACATGTCAAGATTTTGCTAAGTCTTTATAAAACATTTTTAAAAAGATAATGATATTTCTCCTGATACTTCCCACTCAATTGGTGAGGGAGTTCACTTCAGGAATTTCACAGTAAATATCCCCTTTAAATTGCACAGTTTAAACTGGCTTTTTCTAGGCAAATATAGATGTGTGAAGAGGTTGTACTCATACATGTAAGAGCATTGAAAGTGTTCCTGATATCTTCCTGACAACTTCCTTCTCTTTTAACTTATTGTACACAATTAAAGACAGCTTTTGTCAGAGAAGTTGTCTTCAAAAGGGACATTTCTGAGCTCTATACAGAAATATATTCAGATCTCACCACACCAGGTAAGGGCAGAGTGCAGCGGTAGCCAGTGTGACCCAGGCAATGTGGCTGGTGTGCTCTCCTCCAGCCCAGCTGGGCAGTAAGAGCTGTTCTGCTTAAGGTGGGTCATTTGTATGAGAGTGACATTGGGGAACTATATTTAAAATAGCCTATATTTCTTTTTGCTTTTGAATGACAGCGTGAAGCCATCCTGCAGGGTTGTAACTTGGCAGTTGCTGAGGAAGGCAGGTGTCACTTGGGACCCTAGCTGACAAGATTTGGGATTTGTCACTAATTCAGACAATGCATAATGTTAATTTTGGGATACTCTATATTGCCTGTTTAATAAGGACTGAACTTGAAGTGTTTGGGATAGGATGTTTGTGCTGATACTCCTTTGTTCTAGAGAACAATATTTTCAAGAATAAGAACCTCTTAGTCTAGTCTTGGGACAAAACTTCACTGCAAGTAAGAGACTCTGGGAATTGATGTTTGTTCAGTATATTGATGCTGAGATACACAGGAGTTTCTCCTTATGTCTGTGTTTGCTGGGTCCAAGATATTGATGCTGTCTGGAAAATGAGGACACCTTTCACAAAAGAGCCACTGGTCTAGCAGTAATTGTTCTTTATTTTGTGGTGTGCAGAAATTAATAAACTTTTCAGCTGGATTATCTGAAAAAGCACTTTGTGTTTCTCATGCTCTAAGTAAATAGATTAGCTGTATTTATTAGCTCAAACAGCTTGAGTGAAATTGGAAATGTAACACAGCTAGAAATGAACTTGGCGGGGTGTTTTTGCTGGAGCTTGAGAAACAGTTTGCTTCCAAATAAATTACATTAAAAGGATTATATTAAATCAATGTCTATATCAATAATTTCTTTGGCATTGTTGAAGTAGTAGCAGCAATGCTTGTATTTCCATTGAACAAGCAGTTTCAGCATCGCTGGGGAGTGTCTGCCCTCTTTAGGTGGTTTCCCTTGAACACTCAGGCAAGAAGGAATGCTGGTTGCCTGGACAGCAGCTGGTGCAAGGGAAGACTGGCTTTGAAAGTCTAGTTTTTTGGTTCATTACTGTTTACTGGAGAAAATGAGTGTGGTTGGGTACTGGAAGATGTTCTGCTGCCTTCACAGTTATATCTCTGGGTTCAGCTGTGGCTGGAGTTCATTTGATGGCCAGGGGAAACAAGCAGTGCTGCTGGAATCTGTCTGGCCCTGTCTGTGACATCACTATCTGCATGTCTGTGAAGTCCAGAAAGAGTTTCCATATTGATTTCTCCATAAACTGCTGATTCCAAGAGTTGGTAGTCCCTTCTTGGGTCATGGTCGTGCTAAATATGGTTTGTTTCTTGCTGACTTTTCTTAAGTTCTCACTCAGGGTTCGTGAGGGGCCTTTGGTCCAAGACAGCCTCCATATGAAAGGATGTCATTGATTGAGTCAGTATTTTGCTGTTCTTTTTCCTTAACTAAACCTAATTTTGCCTTTCTCTTTTTCCTTTTTTGAGCATCAGCACCTCAGTCTGATGAAGGCTCTGACATTGATTCTGAACCAGATTTGCCTTTAAAAAGAAAGCAGCGTCGCAGCAGGACAACCTTCACAGCAGAACAACTGGAAGAGCTGGAAAGAGCTTTTGAGAGGACACACTACCCTGACATTTACACCAGGGAAGAACTTGCACAAAGAGCTAAGCTCACAGAGGCTCGTGTCCAGGTATGTGTAATACAAGCTGCCTAATGAAAGGAGTTTCCTATTCTGTTAGCATGTGAGTCCTTTTATATTCCTACGTGATCCTGCTCTTCAGTAGAAGGAAAATGTAAAACAACATTGTTTACATCTGTAGAGTTTTTACGTCTGTACATGGACATTGGTTTTACAATTGCTTTAGAGAACTGCTTTGAAAAACTTGTGTCTTCCCATTAATTGTTCCATACTTACCATGAATATAGTACAGAATCTTTGAAGAAGAAAAAGAAAGTCTGGTATCCCCATTTGTTTGCTTTATGCATTTGACAGCACTCTGCATGTAACAGCTCAGCTGTTGGACCAGTTTATAGTTACCTAACTGATTTCATCTCTTGTTGTCTGGGTTTTCCAGGCATTAAAAAAGGAGAGAAAAACATTTTTTTAAGGAAAATGTGTCTACAGAGCCATGCAAGTGAGCAAGGTGGCTGGTGCCGAATCTACAGTTCACTTTTAGGTTAGATTTTGAAGTTGACTTGACAGAAATTCTGTAATATCTCTTTTATGCCCACTCTCAGTTTAATTCAAAAGAAAATAAGTACTCAAATAACTTCTAGGTCTTCACAGCCTCATGTAGATCTGGGCTGTCTAAACCAAGATAATGTACTAGAGCAGTAACATGAAGTTGATTTAAATTTTTTTTTAAAAGCATGAGCCTGGATTTTTAGCTGTCTAAATCTAGGAAAATAGCAGCTAAATTGACCTGGAATAAACTGCACCTCAGAGTTCAAGTTTTGATTAGGACTTCTCCGGTTTAATATCAAAGAAACACATGCTTGAAAAGTTTAATACTGCAGGCAGAATCTTCTGCTGCTCTTTCACCACTTGACATCTACGAATTGCTGGGAAAAGTATGCCTCTTTTAAATCAGTCTAAGTTGCAAGTGTTACTGACTAATGTGTGGTTGGGTGACAAGCAAAATGTTGAAGCATGTGATCTAACAAAGGAAATGAGTGGTGACTTGTGGTCTGACCAAGGATACAGGTGAATTTGGTTTCTTTGGTAAAACTCTTATTATGGTTTGACCTTTGAAACTCAGCCTGAGGCATCGAGACTGTGCAAACTGAAATAAGCAATACAAAACACCTCTCTGACTTTGGAAGACAATCACACCTACTGCAGCATGTCTGTATTATTGAGTGTCTGTCTTGAAAGGCTCAGACTTTTTACCTGCTAAATGTTTTTGCAGAAGACTTCATGCCACATTTCTTCTAAGTGTTTATTATGACTGTGGGAGAAAATCAGATGTGTGGATGAATTTGTCTGGAAGGCAAACTCAGTTGTGCATGACTCTTTTCTTAACATGTTTACTAAGTGAAATGCTTGCAAAACAGCTCCATAGATAGACTTGGGCCAGGTAAGACCCGATCAAGCCCCAGGAATCATTTGCACACAAACATAACAAAGATAACTTGCTTCACAAGTGTTGTTAGCAAGACGAATGGGATCTCAGAGATGATGTTTTGGTCTATGTTAGCTTCAGTGGAAAAATACGATAAAATGAAAAAGACCTTGTTCATGTTTTTCTAAATCAATGACCCACAGCTAGAAGAAAAGCAGAACTCTCATTAACATAACAGCTGTCTTAATGTGGCTTTAACCCTGTGACTTTTTGCATTCCTCATGGCTTCCTTGGTTCCCTCGAGACGCATCCCGTCTCACACCGCTCGTATGATCTACAGCCTCACAAATTCCCCAGTACCTCTGACATGGATATTTTACCTAACCCAGCATGGAAGAGAGTTCCCAGTCAATCAATGATTAAAATACCAGAACAAAACCTTTCTGGATTAAAGATGAGCTGGGGTTGAAGTAACCAGCCTGTGGGCAGTTTCCTAGTGCACTCCATCTGTCTGGTACACTTGAAGGCTGGCAGAATGATTTAGCAGTGGATTAAGGGATACAGGATTTGCCTTATCAACATTCAGCACCTCTCTATAGCCCCTTAAAATAGCCACGTATTATGGGCATGAAATAAAAGACGACCTGTGAAAAGAAAATAACCCTAAGAGACTTGAGGCTGAGAGGGCTGGATAGCCATACTGAAGTAGCATTCAAGCTTTCTTAGTCACACTTCTTTTTTGGTAACATTATGATAGAGATCAGAGATACCAAATTTTATATGGATATATACACAAAGATCTCTTTGACTGCTTCCCAATAAAGCATTATCTAAAAGAGCTGGCTCTTGCAGCCTGAATCCAACTAAGCCCAGAAATTTATTTATTTATTTCCTTTGGAGCTGTAAGGTCCAATTCTGTACAGTAGTTTTATATTGCCTAGGCAGTTATTTAGTTGGTTACAACTGGATCAGCCTTGCTATTCCCTCAGTCCCTCTGTGTAGTACTTGCATCTCATGTTTTGTTTTCTCTACTCTGCCATCCTGTGCTTCCCCTTTCCTTCTGTTCCCTGAGGCTGTCTATTACTCCAGTGAAAGGAAGAATCTTACACCACTGAACCATGGTTTTCCTCACTTTCCCACTGCTGAAGGATAACCAAATGTATGTTTCTAACCTGGTTACTTAGAGGTGGGGAAAAAACTTACCTCTGGTCTGGGATCAAGCATGGAACATGTCAGACCCTGAGGGGAATTTTTTGAGAGCTACAAGCAACTGAAAACAGACTTTACACTGTGAATGTTATTTGTGTACCTAATCATGGGAACAGGAAAGGCTTTTGGGGAAAGAAGTGTTCCAACAAACTCCACATTGTAAGAGTCACGAGATGTGTAACTGTAATCATGGCAAATATTTCAACACTGGGTGTAATAACGAGTTAAAATGCTCCCTGCAATTCCTCCTGCAGCACTTTTCCACTCAAGGACTGTTGAGTTTTTTTCCCCCAGTGTTTTAACCTAGATGTGATGTGGAGCCAGGACAACCTCTTCTGCTGCCTCTTAAGGCACTTGCTCTTCTCTGTACATTAGATGCAGAAGGAAAAGGGGAGTTCTTTGGTCTTGTGAGATTATCAGATAAAATTCGGAAAGATAAGCACTGTTCCAAAGGAGGACCATTCCTTTAAAAATAAACAAAAATAGTGATACTCTGGGAATGTGAAGTTAAAAATTTTCATGTTTTGAGTAAAAATTGCAACTCTGCAGTAGTTTACCTGTCCAGTTTAAAACCTCATTAAAACCATTGTTATGTTGCAGTGCAGGTCCTTAAGGTCTGTGGCCTGTTTTTACTGACAATCTGAAGGCAAGTTTGGAAAGTGAATTTATCTCCAGTGTAGATCAAAGGGTCTTTCTGAGCTTCAGAGCTGTGGAGTTATGGTTTCTGTAAGAAATGGTGCATCAAGAATGAAGTGGGCAGTATCTTTTCTGGCCACCTTTGTTTCCCACAGCAGGCTTGTTTTTAGACCTGGATGAACTGGGCAAGCTTTGGCAGGAGCTTGGGCCTGTTTTGGATTGATGGTGGGGAATGTTTACGTCAATCTTTTGGCAAAGGATTTTTAAATAAGGTTCAGGTTTGTCCTGTGGCTGGCCAGAAACCTGCCTTAGCCAACGGGGGCTGGCCATGCAGGCAAATCTTTTGGGGCTGTGTGTTGATGGCAGACATCCCAAATTGCCAGAAATGTGGGGCATGAGACTTGTGTATTGGACCATGTTAAGGAGTGCCTCAGCTGTATGGATCCTTGGGGCAGGAGGCCCTGCTGTGAGAAGCAGCTGGCACATGGTCTCTCTGTTTAATTCCAAAATGCAATAGGAAAAATTTGTTTGGACTCTTTTTCATCCATGAATAATGGTGAAAAAGAAGGGCAAGTCAGGGAGAATTCTGAATCATGACTATTTCCCACCCTGAAGAGTTTCTTCTCAGCCAAATCCCAGTTTTACTGATTTGCTTGAAGACATAAAAAAAGAAAAAACATTGTTTATCAACAGAGCATGTCTGAAAATTTAGGCACATCTCTCCAGGCTACTAGCATGGAATTGAATGTTCCCATGTCAAACTTGTAATCAGCTTGTAAGCTATTGTAAAAACCTTATAATAATCTTAACAAATAAGTCCCAAGAGCTCAGATGTCTTGAGTAGCTAGAAGAAAAAATTATTTAAAAAAATGTATTTTAAGTGTTGTGCTTGGATGTTGTTTTCTTTGCTTCACTGTGTTACAGGGAGGGAAAGAGTCTGGAGAGGAGTAAGGGGAAAGGTGAGAGAAGTTATGACTCTTGAGTTAGTAGTAAATTTTAAAGGCTCTGAAGTCCAATTTCTCAGCTTTAGTAGTATTTTCTCAATAGAAACCAGTGAAAAGCACTCCCTGAGAAATCACTGGGGAGGGGGAATCTGTGCCAAAAAAAGGTCTTAATTTGCTTTCAGCTCCTCTGAAATGGTTTGAGCATATACACTGAACTGCTCAGTCCTATGGGAAGATGGGGCAAAGGAATGCAGGATGGATTCAAGAACACTCAAGACTCACTTTCATCAGGTCTTTAGTTATTCCTGATGTGGTTTATGGAGAATTTTTGTTGCTTTTTCTTGAGACTGAATCTCTTGCATCATAAAAAGGCAAGAAAATGCTGTGTGCATCCCGCAGTAGATAACCCTGTAATTGTAGGTCCCCCCCTCCTTGTAAAGGGGAAATTCTTATGGGTAAATTAACCAACTGCATTCATATGCAGGCCCAAGAGGACATTTTAAATATAAAGGAAAAGAGGGATGTGATTTTGATTGTCTCTTTCTTGTCTCTGCTGCCTAAGGGCTCTAATTAGTGTCACTTTAACTTATAAATACACAGCTCAATTTGCTTATTACTCAATAATTTTCAGAACTATTCAGCTGCAGATTTTTAGAAGTATTTTTGTAGAACCGAGTCAAAGTTTTCTCAAAGAAACCTAAGAGATAGAAGTGTGTTGGATCACACTGGGGGATGGTTGGGAGTCCCTATTCCCTTTGGCACAGGCTAGTGACTTTTTGGTCTGTGTTGTTTTTTGTTTTATTTTGTGTGTAGTGTGTTGGGTTTAATTTGAGTTTTCTTTGCTTTTGGGTTTCTTTTCTTGTGTGGTTCAGGTTTTTTGATTTTTTTTTTTTTGTTTGTTTTGTTGCTGTTTTGGGGGTATATTTGATATGTTTTTCCCTTTTATTTCCACCTCCCTCCCTCCCCCCTGTATATTTTCAAAGAACTCTGGTTTCTAGCACACTGATAACTAGCAGTATCCTAAACAGCATCACTTCCCATAGAAAGCAGGCTTCAGCAGGCAGGGAACCTTCAGCATTGTGACCTTCCCTCTGGTGGCCATGGCAGGCTGCTCTCAGCAGGCTTTGTGATGCTGTGAGGGGACATGTTGTGCATCTGTACGCAGTGGACCTTATCCCCGTGAGGCTGGGGATGTGCAGATGTCACAGTCAAGCTGATTTTTCAACTACTTGTGCTAAAAAGCAATTCTTTTTCTACTCTTTCTTCATCCTGTGCCTGCTCCCTGGCAGGGCTCTGCCTACAGCTCATAGTAGTGATACTCTCGTAAGCCAGGATGGAAACTCACCCTACTTTCCTGTGCACGCCCTCAAAGGGCTGCTGAAGTAAGTGAGGTCTGGCATCTGTAGGGACTGCAGGAGCAGACCCTGGAGGTGTCTAGCAGTCACATTGCCATGTTTTGCAAAGGTAACAGAGTCAGCTCTGCCTGGGCTGGTGGAGCTCAGCTTTGTTTGCAGTTTCCTTCTTCAGCCTCCCCTCTTCCCAAGGCACCCCTGCTGCTTCTGGCACAGCCCACATTCTTTCCCTGGTGGAACATCCGCTGAGGACTCTGGCTTCCAGGATGGTCGGACTTTGTTTTGAACATATGAATTTTGTGGGAAGGGAGAGGTGGGGAATAGTAGTGTGGGGGAGGCAGTTACCATGAAAAATGTCATGAGGAAAAACTGAACCAACTCCTCCCTCCCCCCATCTAGAGTCCATCTAAAATTAGAAGTGCCATTAACAATACATCAATCTCTCGACTTTTGTGTTTCTGGCACTCGTGCTTGCAATGGTCAGGGCTTTGTATAACAAAATATCTACGGGTTTTTTGCAACATTCACATCTTGAATGTTTTTCCCTGTTGAATCAGAGATCTTTTTGCCTTAAAAGCACATACAGCGCTCTGTGTTTATGATCAGACTGTCGAAATGTCAAGGCTAATTACACTAGTGTGTTCCCAAGTGAATAAATGCATCTTCTAAAGAATATCCTGTTGAGATCAACAAAAAAAGATATTGGCATGATCACTTGCAAACTGCTTTAAGAAAAAATGATAATAAGAGGCAGGATCCAAATATCAGGAAATAAAGATGGAAGAAACATATTAGTTCACCTTATCTATCTACATTGGTGCAAAATACAGTTTTTATGTTCTGTTGCAGAGTGATTTCTTTTTTGGTCAGTCCAGTCCCAGTGCTTAAAAAACTGGAGCCTCCAGTACTTAAAGTGCTACTTTCCCCTTGTTTTGTTCTGTATTTCATCCTATTCAGTTGTATTTTCAAGCCATAAATGTTGACCAGACATTGGGACTCAAGTTTGTTTCCAAATCATCTGGATCATTTACATTCCATCTTTGAAAGTGACATAGGAAGCGAGGAGTCCAAGCCTCACTACGGTGAGTGTGACTTGGCTTCTGTGCAGACAGTTTCTGAATGCTTGGGTCCCTCAGCCAAGACATGTTTCCTCTGTCCATTTTTAGATAGTTTAGAGTTTGATTTCTGTTGTGCCCACTGCAGGGTGGCACTTTCTCACAGGATGACACTCGGGATCTCCTCCAGGGGCTGCTGTGTACTGGCAGCATCCCTGCAGCCAGGTGATGATTGTGCCTCTCAGAAGGAGATTGTGGGAGAACAGGAGCAGCCTATGGGGATCTGCTAGATTTGAAAAGGCCACTCATAAGATGAGAATTTTGTCATGTTGGTGGAAGTTGAAATCTGTTGCACATAAGGGGACATTGTTTTTAAATCATATTGGAAATGTATAAACAAAAGAAAATATTCCCCCAGGTTTTTACAATATGTTTCTAAGCAGACACACTGGCTTGTGGTGACTGGATTTATTTTTAAGTCTTGGCTTGAGATTAGCAAAATTTTTTCAAGATTTCTTTAGTGGTAGTGTTGTACATTGATTTTTCATGATACATGAGGACTTAAGAAATGAAAAAAAATTCTGGACTCTTGAAATAGATCAAGGTAACTGACTGTACTCTAAGGGAAATATTATGATTAAAAACCCCAATAATTTCAGTTAAAATAACATCTTCTGAAGATGTTCTGAACTAAACATTCATAATTCCGTTCAGGCTTCTGAATAAAGCTTGGGATTTGACTAATTTTAATAAGCATTACATAAAATGTAAATAAATTATCAGGTTTCAGTTATTTAGTTTTTAGTAGCTTTATTTAGTTTTTAGTAGCTTTTTAGTAGCCACTGGGGAAAGCAAGAGGCCAGTCCAAAGGACAGTGCCGTGGGACATGGGTGCCCATCAAGTAGCACTCATTTGGCACATCCCAATCACACAGGACTGAGGTGGCAATACACAGCCTTGTTCCTGCACCCCTGCAGAGTCCCACTCAGTATAATGGGGCTCCAGGTGGCAACAAAGCTCTGTGCAAGGATGTCCCTTGTGTGGCTGCTGCAGACTTTTTGACACCATTGAGTGTGTTCCTTTCAGAGATGTCTAATAAGTAGCTGCAGTTGTGGAAAAAATGCAAGTCTACAAAATGAGCCAAAAATCTGTTCATAAATAAAAAAAATAAGACTTGTCATTTATGTAAATTGCTTACTACTGAATTCAACTTTGGGATTTGACTGATTTTAATAAAGATCTGGAGCTTGAAGCAAATGCTTGTCTGTAGAGAAAACAAAGTCTTGTTGCCTCACTTCCCTCAGTGAAATCCATTCATGTAGCCTAGTTATGTTCATGTTCCCAAAACACTTGGAGATCATGAGATAACCCTCTTGACCTGAAGAAGAGAGAGTGTCGAGGCAAAAAGCCACAGTTAATGACCTGGGTCAGCTCATTACAACAAGCGTTTGCTGTTCCCTGGTCACTCTTTGACCTCCATTATCCTTCCTAAGTGTTCTTTGGATCTTTAGCAAGGTCTCTTTCTTGCTCTACAGGCTGAGTTTAGACCCATCCTCAACTACTGCTCATTGCAGGTTTTGCATCTCCACCCCGGTGCCTTGTCCCTGCCAGCTGCTATCAGAAATGGTTCATGTGGAGACAGAGGAGGGTTAATATGTACAGCAAACAACAAGAGAGGGATTTGTGACAGAGAACAGAGGCTCCACCTATCCCTCTGTCCTAGATCTTAAACTGGAGTGGGAGTGGATAATTGCGGAGTAGATGTTGCGGCCAAAGGAGGAGGCAGCTGTGTGACCTGAGCATCTCATTCTGAAAAGAGGATGAAGTCAGAACAAACTATATGGTGACAGATGGCCTATGGCAGAAACCAGATGGCCCAGTGAGTCCCACCACTCCTGTCATGAAATAGTAAGCAGAGGAGAAGCCCACAGTGCAGCCCAAAATGTTGTCATCCTATGGTGTGAGGGCCACTCATGGTTTATAAAAGGTGTTACACTTAGAATCCCAGTCTGTGATGCCTGATTCTTAATCCAGCTAGAGCTGCTTGTTGGAAGGGTTACAGGTCTGAGCCCCATCTTCTACAAACAAATCTATATGTGGCTCATCAGCTAACGTGCCTCAGTGGCTTTCAGGCCAGGCTGCCTTACAGGCTGTACAGATCTACTTTATCAGCTATTAACACTCAGTTGAGGGCTTATCTAATTAATTGTATCTATAGATGAGCACCACAGCTGCTTCAGGGTGTAGGATTATGAGCAACTGGCTCATACAAATGTGTGCAGTCTCTGTTACCTGAACCAACCATTCTTTCCCTCAGTGCTCCACTGTGGAGCTGACAGCTGTAATCAGGAGCCTGCTCTGACCCTGCCACAGGGCAATATGCCTGCACCCTGCTCCAGGCGCCCCTGCACTGACTCCTTGCCCTTCCAATTTGTGATGTGTGGAATTATTATAATATCAAAATTAACAAATGTGTTTTGCCACTCCTAGTATATCTGCATTTGTGATGTCCTGCCTCTTTGTATCTTGGATGTAGTAAGAACCATCCCAGACTTGGAAAACTTAAAACACAAACTGAGAAGGATGTGAAGAAAAGCAGATTTATAGCTAAAATGTCCCACAAATCCAAACCCCATCTGGTTGGTGTGCTTTCCTGGGAACAGATTTCAAAGTGGTTCTGAAATGCTAATGTAGTACTGAAGTTCTGACCTACTGTTTTGTACATATGTGAACACATGAAAACTTGCTGGGAGGGATTTGTGTATTTTGTACACAGGGCTTTTATTTTTCTAAATAAAACTTTGAAGTTCTGTTGGTCATTAGGGCAATATAGTATCCCAATATATAAGTATGTGCACCTTCTAACAGTGCATTAAGTGATGGCACTAACTTGTCAGCAAGTTAAAGGCAATACAGTACAGATAAAATAGCTTTGGCTGGCACTTAGATTAAATGGAGAGGTTTCCCCTTTGTCATTAATTCTGCCACAGTAATGATAGTGATTAAAACCATTAAAGCTTGAAAGAGTAGACAACTTTTTTTCTCAGGAGAGGCTGAATTTGAGAGGAAACTAGGGATCAGGATTCCTATGTTGAATCTGTTGGGCCATGGAAATGTGTGCCAAGGGCAACTTTCTTGTCTAGGAGTGCTGAGTTCAGTGTGCATCTTCTGCATCTCTCATCTCGGACACTGAGCATGTTTGAAATACAATGCCATTATTTCTGATACATCTGTATTAAATGTGCAAAAATCAAATGTTCATGTTTAAAACATTTGCAGGTCTGGTTTAGTAATCGTCGTGCCAGATGGAGGAAGCAGGCAGGAGCCAACCAACTGATGGCTTTCAACCATCTGATCCCTGGAGGATTTCCACCCAGTGCCATGCCAACTTTGCCAACGTACCAGCTCTCTGAGCCCTCCTACCAGCCCACCTCCATACCCCAAGGTACAGTAGCCTGCAGGTACTTGGTTAAAATAGTGTTATTGAGGGGGTTTCCTGTGCTCCTCCACTGTAGAAATATTTTTTTTCTAATGAGTTGGCCAATTTATGGTCTGACTCAGGGAGGACCCTGCAAGCATGTTTATTTTAAGCACGTGAGAAGTGAGATTTGTTTTGCTGCAAGAAAGGGATGGTTCCATGTGAAGGGTGCTCTCCAGAGAAATAATCACCTTCTTCCCAGCAGGCATGCAGCTTTGGTAAAGTGATGGACACTCATCCCTGTCCTGCCACTGCATTTGCCTGCTTTGCTGGAAGTGTCTGGTGTGATGTAAAAGGAGACAGGTGCACTCTGTCTTTATTGTGACTATCAGTGATGGAGCATTGGAACTTCTGTAAATACTGTGAATATTTATCTGAGGGTGGAAAAAACAGCCATTCAGACCACCTTGTTTCACATCAGTCAGTAGCCAGTCTCAGTAGGGTAAAAATTTTTCTTAATGTTATCAGAAATTCTGTGAACTTTGATGGATTTGAGTGGGAGGGACCAGACCCTCAAATCTAGGCTTTGTTAGATTGTACTATTAAATAAAAAAATTACGAGTGAGATTTTGTAAAGTAAGTTATGCCCTCTTATTGCTTTCTCCTTGAAATTTGGATCCAACCCTTGTAGGAGTTTTTAATTGAGGGAATTTTTCAAAGCCCAGGGCTTCTCCCGCCCATTGCTTTACTTGATAAAAACTGTGGTGGGATTTCTTGAGCTGTGACCGGGAGGGGAAAGCTGGTCTTATAAGTAAATAAATATTTTCCTTTATTTTTATATATAGACATATAAAAAAAATACTGCAGACAATATGTGCTCACTAGTTGTTGTCTGAAAACCACATGTCTGTTGTTATGATATTTACAGTCTGTTTGAGAATTTTTTGTGTAAATTCACAGGCCGGTTAAATATCCAGCAATATTACAGATTTACTTTTCTACTTAACCAGTATTTAGATGCAGGTTTCTGATGCAGTTCTCTTAAGCTGAGCTTCACATAATGAACTTATTATGCCAGAAGTAAAGGAGGAAAACATATCAACATGTTTCTTCTGCTTCCAGCCGTGTCTGATCCAAGCAGCACCGTCCATAGACCTCAGCCTCTCCCTCCAAGCACTGTACACCAAAGCAGCCTCCCTTCGAACCCAGAGAGCAGCTCTGCCTATTGCCTGCCCAGCACCAGGCATGGATTTTCCAGCTATACAGACAGCTTTGTGCCTCCGTCCGGGCCCTCCAATCCCATGAACCCTGCCATTGGCAATGGCCTCTCACCTCAGGTCAGTCCTGTGTTTTCAGACAGAGGATTTGCTGTATACCAGAACCAAAGAGTCTATTCCCTCAGGCCACAGTATAATGAATTGCCAAATTTAAACCATAATGTATTCTTTATATAAGCCACATGATTTCAGTTTGCTAGTTTCCTTTTTTTTTTTTTTTAAGAGTTTTTTTCCTCCTACTGGCTGAATAAAGAGTCATAGCTTATATTTAATTTCAACAGATTTATAATGGAATCATGCAGACTTCATGTTTGCATCCAGTTGTCAAGCATTTGTAATGTGCTGCTCTTCTCCTGAAGAACCATGGCTAGGTACAGAAAACAGAGCTTGTATTTTTTTCTGTGAAGAAAATATCTCATTAAAATAACATCATCAAGATTTTACCAAGTGATCCAGGAAAATTACGGGCAAGTTGTATGAGGAGAGTTCCAAGGACTAAGAAATGTGTATTGAGATGAGCTGTAATCGAGTTATAAATACATAAATTAGGAGTATTACTGCTCTTTGGCAATATATAAATGCATGAATACCATAATTGTTTTTCTAATTTGCGTGAGCTCTTTTAAGGAAATCAGGTTAATAAATTGCCTTGATAATTGAGTGTCAAAAGATTGGTTAAATTTTCCTACACGCGGCATCTGTCTGAAGCTGACATTATTAGTTAAAGCTTGAATAGATGGTAGTTTATTTTATTAGCAAGAGCTTTGCCCAGGTGCTTGGAAAGAGATGTCCACTAAATTCTGAGGAGTCACAAAGAAGATGCAATCTATAATTACAATCAGGAATCTCTTCAGGGCTGAAAGTGAGAGTTTTAACAGCTTTATCTGCTTTCTACCCTTTTTTCCTCACAGTGGTTAGAAAAACAGAGAGAAGCTCAGAATGACACAAATGAAAAGTGAAAAGACAATTATACTCAATTACACACTAATCACTGACTATCACCACTGCCTAAGCAGGGAGAGGGCATTCTAATAGGCAGAAAATGAGATTTTAATGGCACAAAGGGTGGCCAAAATAACGACTCGTATATCTTTGCCTCCTTCGTTTTCTTCAACTTGTGGTTTGCATCTCGGGAGTGCAGTTCCTGGTTCCTGTGCAACGGTGATAACTCTGTGCAGCTGAAAAGTTCAAAGGCTCTGGAGTTGAAAAGAATGAATAACAAAGGCAATGAAATAAACATTTTTGCCCAAAGGCAAAAGTTCATAAACCCTTTTTTGTAACGGTAAATGTAATTAAGATTCACAGATTCCTATAGCATGGAGTGTGGTACAAAACTTCATGGCTTGAAACCTCAGGAGAAAAATACCAACAGAAAAACAAACGGATGTACTTCTATCAAGACTTGAATAGATTTTGTTTGAAAGAATTCTGATTTCTAAATGCAAACTTCAACTAAATCCATGACATTATATTAGTTGTTTTTTTTTTTTTTTTTTTTTTTTTTAACGGCTAGTTTCATAGTGTGCAAGACTTCCACATTTTTGGACATAATTATCTATCTGGTTTTCAATGTTAATCCATAAAAAGTAGTTGTTAGTGTCAGTTTAAATGTGTGTTGGTTCTGGCTATGGAAAATGTGATCTCTTTTTTTCCCCCTTTCACAAAGCTTTTATTGTCTGTGACACAGAAGTGGCGCACAACAGTAAAGAAATCTTGTGATGGCTGGGTAAAATGGGACAAAAATGAGAGGCCAGGTCTCCTCCTGCCAAAGTCTTGCTCATTTGAGGTTTGATGTAATCAAAAGGAGATTCTGTGCTTTTTTACACCTAGCCCTGTCTTTACCCTAGGAGACTTCTGTTGTTTTATTGTTTGTTTATTTGTTTTCCTTAGACTTCTGAAACCTTTTTCTAACCCAGTGCTTAGCACCTCTGTCTGTGTCCAGCAGCTTTACCAACAGGTAGAGCTAGGTTTAGGGGGATGCTGATCCCTTTAAAGTTGACATCATGCTTCCATTGCTCTGTACATAGTGGAGACTGCTTAATATCCATTTAGGTTTGGAGCAACTTCTTGGCAACTAAATGATTACCTTCAACAGCTGTTAAAAATCTTCCCATCAAACAAACAAATGAAAAACCCAGGCCTGAATTCATGTGGCATTGCCAACAACTCCTCTATATCAGCTTTGGTGCCTAAACAATGACTTAGAGACCTGCATAAAATGTAGAGATTTTTAAGGTGACACATTCAGGTTTTGTATTTATATACTGTAGTAATACAGCCTCAAACATGTAAATTGTGTGCAACAAATTGTGGGACTGTAGCAAACCAGTGAAACTCTTGATGCCCAAAGGAGCCTCAGCTGCTGGTCATGATGTTGGTGTGTGAAATGTCCCTTATTTGTGGGGTGTGTCACTGTGCATCCCTTCTCTGTGCTTCCTCAGGGCTCTTCCTGAGGTGCTGAAAGAGAGGCTGAGGTAAGGTAGAGTTGAAAGCCAGCTCTGCATCTGGGTTTTCATGAAAAAGGGAAACAGGAGTTTTCCTGCTGAGTGGGCATGTTGCAGTGCCCTGCCTGTGTGCATGGAATTTAGATGAGAAAGAAAGAGGGTCTATTTACTAGCCAGTGCATTTTTGACCACAATAAATCTGGGTGTGTGAGTAATTAACATAATGTTTCCACCCATCCATGTGTCTCTTGCTGGCAAGTGCTCCTGACAAACTGAGTCTAAAGCTGAATTTGTGGTGGCTGTAGCAGGGAGGGGGAAGGGGGGCTTTGTCTGAAGCCCAGATAATATTTTGTGATTAAAAAAACTCACACTTAGAACATAAAGAACAAAATCTAATAGTAAGATACACAGGATCATGTTCTTAGCAGACTTAAACCTCTCTCTCCTCTTTGTCATCGATTTGTTACAAATGGGGTTCTGACACAAAGACATCAGGGAAGCTTTATTTTCTCTGTAGAATGGTTCCATTCTACCTTTTTTTTTTTATAAATATGATGGACAAATATGGTGTTTAAGGCAAACACTGGTGAAGGTAGAAGACAAGCAGAGACACCTAGAGTGATGTTATTTTATTTTTATTGTGTTAGCCTTGAATTTTGGGGTGAAAGAGGAGTGCATTTCTCAGTTCTAGGAAGCAGAATGCTCCATTGCATACCTGTCTTGCAAGCTGGGTGTTGAAAAGTTGTTGCTCTTGTTTAAAAATATAAGAGAACAGAAAGATTCCACCTTCTTTAATACTTTTTAACATCAAGACAAGATCTGCAGATATCCTTCAGATGACTGATTACTCTCCTTGCTCATCTGGTTTATTCATTACTACCTGGATGTGGTGAGAGAACCTCTGTCTTGCAGGCATGCAACGGGTTGACTTTTGCTGGAAAAAGTCAGGGATTAATGTCTTGGGGAGATGGCAGCCTGGAGTGTTTGTATTTCATGAAAAAGCAACTCAACTGCAAGCATGCCATCTCAGTCAGGGCTCTTTAAATATAATGTCAGAAAAGAGATTATTAGTGTGTAATATATGTAAATTGCATATTTTTATGTTTTCTATGCCTATTATGCAGCTTCTTGCCTGTCATGCATACATTTATGGGAATATTGTATTTCCTTTTCAAATTAGATTTTAGTTGCTCAGTGAATTTTCTTTTAACAAATGTTTTTTAACTCAGAATTATGAGGGGATAGCATATCTGGACGTTAATGTATGTATACAGGACTTAGGCATGCTTTTGGATTGGCATGGCACTTCATGATTAGCGGCCATCTCTGGCTTTTTGCTGTGAAGCAGAGCAGTGGCTGCAGAAACACTTGTCTCCCAGCTGCAGGTGTATGGTCTTGGTGAAGGGCAGATTGTTTTAAAGACAGGATATCAGTATTTTGAACTGCTTCATTTAAGATAAGGAAAAAGGCTTTTCCGGTGTACATCAGCATCCTCTGACCTCCTCATGTGCTTTTTATTAGTGTCAGAGCAGCAGAGTTTGCCCTACACCAGGTCAGGCAGTTTGCTGGTTTGGAGAGTGCTGCTCTGGCTGCTGTGCATCCAGGTGGAGCAGCAATACTCTGCTGGGATTGCTGCCCACGAGGCTGTGTGCTTCCTGTATTTAACCTGTAGGATATTTAACTTGTAGGATGTTTAACCTGTAGGATAATCCAGGCTTAAACACCACTTCAGTTTTAAGATTTTACTGGGAGAAGAACAAACATGTGTAACCTGTCTCCTGCTAGGCATAATTGTTTTTCCTCCTTGCCCTCTAGAAAAATTCTCAGATCTATTCTTTCCTCTTCCTTGCCTTCTCCCCCCATAATTGAATCAAACCTGTAGCTTTAAAGGCTGCAGTTTTAAAATGGGAAGTGGATCGAGTATTAAATGAGCTGTGTAGGAGATCATAACAGTCTTTAACAAAGTTTGCAGTTTCATGCCATTACCTGCAGCTCAGGAATAATCTTGATAAGAAAATCCTAAACTTTTCCGTGAACAGTAGTAAAGACTCAAGCTGTTTCAAGGTTTCTTTCTTCTACTGTCAAAACATTTCACTGCCTGAGTTTAAGAGTTACCCTGTAACTCCTTTTGGTGAGATGGATCTTAGGCAATGGGCTTCTCTTAAGCCTTTGAGAGCACTTGGTTCTCATTAACATGACGTATGGAACTGATGGCAGCTGTCGAATCAGTTAGATATGTTCATATTGTCTTGTTAGCTCTGTTTTTAGGAACCAGGGCTAAAAATGTTCATTCCCTCATTAAGATGGACAAGAGCAGTGAAAAAAAGCAACTATTAACTCATTATACTTTTCCCTATGCCTTCTGTTGGATTACATTGAGCTGGTTGCCCACAGAAACATTTCATTTGGGTTCGAGTCCCACAGCAATGAGAAGCTCATGATCTTTGGCACGTTGCACTTGGCTTTGAGACCTCTTTGCTTAATGACCCAAGAACATGAGACAGGGCATGGATTCCTTAGTGAGTAAGGAAGTTAATTCAAATGATATAATCTTCATGAACACAAGTTTTTGTTCTTTTTTTTTTTTTTTTAAATTGAAAACCAGAAGTTCAGACA